GTGACTACGGGACAGAGGTTCAGGGCCGAAGGGGTAGATAAAGACCTAGGAAAACTTTGGAAGAAACTCTAAGAAAAGACTTAGAGTATTTAGATCTAACAGAAGACATGACACAAGACCGAGCACAATAGCGTTCTAAGATTCATATAGCCGACCCTACTCAGTGAAGAAGGCTTTGGTGTATTTAACATAATACATTGAAATGAAGCAAAGCTTATTTATTGATATCTCCGATAAGTTACAAATATGTACATATACATGAGTCAAAATAAACAAACAAGAGGGAGCCTTCACAAAGGTTGCTTAGGAGAAGTCTCAGCAGTCGGTAGAGCCCCAGAAAGAGAAGGCACCGAAGGGGGATCATTCGGAGCCTCAGTACTGGACAGAACCCTAGAAGGAGGAGGCATCAGAGGTTGATCATTTGGAGTTTCATTACGCAGTACAGCCCCAGAAGACGAAGGCAATAAATGCCTTTGGAACAAACCCACAAACCGCTGATGATCAAGTAAAACCTGACCATCAGATTCCTTCATCTGGTCAAGCTTCCTCTTCATGTTTGTAGCATAGTCATGTGCGAGCCGGTGCAACTGTTTATTCTCATGCTTGAGCCCTCTAATCTCCTGTTTGAGACTCATCACTTCAACCGCCAATGATTCAACTTGGCGGGTTCGAGCAAATAGACGTTGGGCCATATTAGACACAGAACCTCCACACTGAACACTCAGAGCCAGAGAATCCTTAACAGCCAACTCATCAGACCGTTTGGAAAGTAGTCTGTTATCTTTGGGAGTTAGAAGGTTCTTGGCCACCACCGCAGCGGTTATATCATTCTTCATTACGGAATCCCCAACGGTAAAAGGATCAGTAGGGGATAAGAAGGATGGGCGCCATATGTTGTCTGGAGAAGGCGTGGCTGCCTCTTCAACAAGGTTCAAGTCAAAACGACGGTCGGAGGGGCCAGACATTTTCAAAGGTGTTAAAGAGAGAAGAGGTCGGACAAATCAAGATCTTAGAAGTGCAAGAATGGAGCTTCTACTGGTGAAGATTCAAGTGTGCTTTCAAACTTAATGCCAGCCTCTATAAAAATCTGCACTCGACGGAACTTCAGAAATCGAAGAGGCGCCTGCCCAGAAATCGAAGAGGCGTTTGCTTTCTCAAAAGCTAGGCTGCTCAGATACCATAAGGGCCGATCTCAGAAATCGAAGAGGCGTTTGCTTTCTCAAAAGCTAGGCTGCTCAGAGACCATAAGGGCCGATCTCAGAAATCGAAAAGGCGTTTGCTTTCTCTAAAGCTGGGCTGCTCAAAGACCACGAAGGCCGATCTCAGAAATCGAAGAGGCACTTGCTTTCTCAAAAGCTGGGCTGCTCAGAGACCACGAGGGTCGATCTCAGAAATCAAAGGGGCACCTGCTTTTTTCAGCCTTGTCAGCACCTGTCACATGCACACTCAGCTTTGCTGAAATTACGGGCATTCTGTTGAAGATTTCTGGTGAAGTAGAAAGCACGTGAATCTTACTGTTCAATCATCCACTTTTCACACGCACCATCAGCTCATGAGTACCACAGATAACTTTGCCAAAGATCTCTGACAAAGTTTAGACACGTGAAGCTTGCAGCTCCCACTACATCGCTATGACCAAGAAGGATAAAAGAATAGCAAAGAAACAGCACTAACAAAGTTTAGACACATAAATTTTGAAGGTCTAGCTACCATATTATTACCCACAAGGGTAAAGGAACAGCACTACTATTGGATAATTGGAAAGTCCTTGTGTGTCAACCTCTGTGCTCCGTGGCAAGGTAGACTAGCAAACATGCCCAACCTTTACTCACATTCGAGAAAACACTCCCAACAAGATTGCTTGCTCCAAAATCGAAGAAGCACCGTCCTCCGAATCCCGAAAGCCAGACTCCCAACATGATTACTTTCTCAAAAATCGAAGAGACACCGCTCTTTGAATCTCGAGAGCCAGACTCCCAGCAGGATTGCTCTCTCAAAAATCGAAGAGGCACCGTTCTCCGAATCTCGAGAGCCAGATCCCCGACAGGATTGCTTGTTCAAAAACCGAAGAGGCATCGCTTTCTCAACTTCGAGAGCCAGATCTCCTTGGATAAAGCTTGTCTGTAATATTCACATGCAACATTAGCTTTCCAGATACCACATACCACTTTTTCAAAGTGCTCTGACACACGTGAAGCTGGCAGCTTCCACTACCGTGTTATGACCAAGCAGGGTAAAAGAATAGCATTACTACTTGTTGTTAAGGAGACTTCTATATATGTCGACCTCCATCCTCAACGGACAGGCAGACCTGCAAAAATGCTCAACCCTTCCTCATATATGAGAGGGCACTCCCAATGAAACCTTTCGAAATACTCAGCTTTCTTTCCCCCCGATAATACCTTTGCAAACAAGCTACACCAGAGCAAGAATATCTCATATCATCAGGGTTAAAAGCAAGAGTATCTCATATCATGCTTTTTCCCTGTCTTTTCCTTTAGCCTTGTTCTTACCTGTAAGACAAGGAGAAAGAGAGCAATCAGTCAGCACTTGGAATCAAGCTTCCAGTCAGGAACTGACTGCCTAGAACCCCTTACCTGATTACTTACCTGGCATTGCTCTCGAGTACTCATCTTCAACATCTTATGCTTCCAGAGAAGATACCACATCTGCCTGAGGAACAGATAGGGAAAGTGAGAAGGATACAAGGAAGCATGTGGAGACAAGCGTAACAGAACACGTGCCGATACATCCACTACTTTGTCAACAGCAAAAGTATCCCATATCAGCAGGGTCGAACATACTCTAGATTTGATGGACTTGTTTTGACCCTCAAATTCTTCAGTCGACCTTATACTCTAGAGGAAACCAGAAAACCTTCAAGCCCAGTTCAAGAATAAGCCTATGGAAAGTTACTTCTTCAAAAGCAAAAGTATCTCCTATCATCTATTCTCCTTTTCTTCTCTTTATCATTCATGCTGCCTGCAAGATAGGGAGAATGAGAACAATCAGCCAGAACTCGAAATCAAACTTCTGATCTGGGACTGATTGCTTGGAGCTTTGATTGCTTACCTTGTCTGTCACCTCTTTCAGCAGATCCCCTAGCTCGGCGACTTGGGGGACTCCTACTACATGGTTTGTATCACGCTTGACCAAGCCTAAAACTACAAGTAAGCTTCAAGTGAAATTGATACATTACCTTGTGCATCTCCACCAGTTAAAGATACCACCCTTGGATGGAGAAAGAGTACTTCCAAAGAAGATACCACATCTACCTATGAGACAGATAAGGCAAGTGAAGACGATACCACACTTCGGTACTTAGAAGTTTCGTGATTACGAGATCATTCTCCCACAATATTTCCTAATGTCATTTGTACTAAATCATTCACTTGTACTTATTAAAGGAGAGTTTGAACCTATGTACTTGTGTAAACCCTTCACAATTAATGAGAACTCCTCTACTCCGTGGACGTAGCCAATCTGGGTGAACCACGTACATCTTGTGTGTTGCTTTCCTGTCTCTAACCATTTACATACTTATCCACACTAATTACCAGAGCAATCTAGCGAAGATCACAAACTTAATACTTTCTGTTGTACCAAAGTCCTCACTGATTTTGTGCATCAACAATCCTTAAGTCCTTACCTTTTTGCGTTGGTAATGGATGAGTTAACAGGACATATTCAAGATGATATTCCTTGGTGTATGCTTTTCGCAAACGATATAGTGTTGATAGATGAAACTCAGGATGGGTAAATACGAAGCTTAACCTTTGGAGAGAAGTGTTGGAATCTAAAGGTCTTCGCCTAAGCCGATCAAAGACAGAATATATGGAGTGCAAGTTCAGTGCAAATGGAGGCCAAAATGAGTTAGGGGTGAGGATCGGAGATCAGGAAATACCAAAGAGTGACCATTTTCGCTACCTAGGATCTATCTTGCAAAAGAACAGAGAATTAGATGGAGATCTCAACCATAGAATACAAGCTGGATGGATGAAGTGGAAAAGTGTATCCGGCGTGTTGTGTGACCGTCGTAAGCCACTGAAGCTCAAGGGAAAATTTTATAGGATGGCAATAAGGCCGGCGATGCTGTATGGCACAGAATGTTGGGCGGTGAAGCATCAACACGTACACAAAATGGGTTTGGACATATGCAAAGAAGGCCTACTGACGCTCCGGTTCGAAGATGTGACTACGGGATAGAGGTTCAGGGCCGAAGGGGTAGAGGAAGACCTAGGAAAACTTTGGAAGAGACCCTAAGAAAAGACTTAGAGTACTTGGATCTACCGGAGGACATGACACAAAACCGAGCGCAATGGCGTTCTAGGATTCATATAGCCGACCCCACTTAGTGGGAAAAGGCTTTATTATTGTTGTTGTTGTTGTTGTCCTTTATTGGGTTAATGCTAGTAAAATCAATGTGGGTTGTAATTTTTATGCCTTATGAATATTGGGTTACGATCTGGGTCAGTTTTGTCCTGCATTTTTTCATGGATCCGGTTCAAAATGTTGGGTCTGGTTGCTTGTTGGGAAAATTAGTTTGGAAAGTGAAATGCTTCTTTTCTCTTTGAGAATGAAATCAGGAAGATCAATGGCGGTTTTTCGTTTCGTTTAAATCATTGTCTTTGCAAAACAACTTAAGATTTGTAGTATTTTCGTCTACCCTGGAAATAATAATGTAGCAATTGACCTGTTTTATTTGTCTGTGTGGCATCAATTGGAGAATGAACATGTCTTTGCGGTCTAAGCGAGATGAAGGTCTCAAAAATTCTTAGTCATGAATTATAGCCACGAACTCCTCAGTACTGAGTTTATAATGCCCGTGAATTTCCATTTTTCTCATGTATGATGATGATTTGTTTCTTTTAATCATGTCAGTTACCAATACATTACCTTGTTTTTCCTGCATTTGTTAGCATACTCTCTTTTAGTTGAAGTTTTGGGGATTCTGAGTCAACTTTTGTGTGTTGAATTATGTAGAACTCTTTTGGATTGATATGGCGAATGTGTACAAACCGAGGAACATCCTCATTACTGGAGCTGCCGGCTTCATTGGTTCCCATGTTGTCAACCAACTCATGCGGAACTATCCTGAGTACAAGATTTTGGTCCTTGACAAGCTTGATTACTGTTCAAATTTGAAAAACCTTCACCCTTCACATTCGTCACCCAACCTTAAGTTTATCAAGGGAGACATCTGCAGTGCTGACTTTGTCAATTCAATTCTTCTCAACGAGTCCATTGATACAATAATGCACTTTGCAGCCCAGACCCATGTCGACAACTCTTTCGGTAACAGCTTTGAGTTCACTAAAAATAACGTCTACGGTACACAGGTTCTCTTAGAAGCATGCAAAGTCACTGGTCAAATCAAAAGGTTCATTCATGTAAGCACAGACGAAGTGTATGGGGAGACAGATGAGAATGCTGTGGTGGGAAATCATGAGGCTTCTCAGCTTCTTCCGACAAAGCCCTACTCTGCAACTAAAGCTGGATCGGAGATGCTTGTCATGGCGTATGGGCGTTCATATGGATTGCCGGTGATAACGACCAGAGGAAATAATGTTTACGGCCCCAATCAGTTTCCTGAAAAGATGATTCCGAAATTCATTCTATTGGCTATGCAAGGGAAGCGTCTTCCGATTTATGGAAATGGATCCAATTTCAGAAGTTATCTCTATTGTGAGGATGTCGCAGAGGCATTTGAAGTCATTCTTCATAGGGGTGAGGTAGGCTGTGTCTACAACATCGGGACAAAGAAAGAGAGGAAATTGATTGATGTGGCTAGGGAAATTTGCCAACACTTCTCTTTGAACCCAGATGCACATATTAAGTTTGTGCAGGATAGGCCTTTTCATGATAAGAGATATTTCATTGATTACAAGAAGCTGAAAGCCTTGGGATGGCCCCAACAGACGTCGTGGGAGGATGGGTTGAAGAAGACATTGGACTGGTACGTGAAGAATCCCTACTGGTGGGGGGATGTTTCTGGAACACTACTTGCTCGCCCGAGAAACTGCAAAGTTTCTTCAAATTTTTCTTTTTAATGATATCACTGTTATCACAACTTCTCTGTCTTCTTTTCTTCTTGGAATGCCGGTCAGGTGTATATCAAAGAGAATAAAATGATTGTTACTTGGAAAGCAAGGCAGGGTAAAGCTGCCAGATTCAGGAAGTGAGCCTTCAGATTTATGAGCTTTCCATGTACAACGGAAGTTTTCTCCAGCTGCTTGTTGTGAATACGCACAGGAAACCCGAATGAATTAGGAAAACAGAAAGACTAAGGACCGAAAAGAATACGCAATTAAGCACAGAACACGTATGGCTTAGGAAAACAGAAAGGCTAAGAATCGAAAAGAATACACAAACTGCAGGCACCAAGAGAGTGAGGGAAAGTAACTCTTTCACACGGGTAATCAGAACAAATCGAGCTGCTGGTAGCCCTATTCACCTACGTTAAACGCAAGAAGACATTCTAGTTTCGATTCGTTTCCTTGGCAATTTAAGCTTTCCAAATGAATTAGGGGTTTTTTCCTTCTTTCGGGTGTTATATTTTCGTTTTTTTCAAGTAGGATTTCTCTATCAACCGGCGTCATCATGCTCACTATATAAAGAGTTCTTTGTTGGATTTATCCAATATAAATCAACCTTTAAGTGGTCTACTATATGTAATAGGAATGTAATATTGGAGAATAATGTTAATTGTGATTTGATCTCTTAAAGATATCAATCCTATATAAGATGTCTTATATTGGAAATAGGATTGATAGAATCCTTAATTGAATATGATTATGATACTTGACTTGGAGGCTAATAAAGTAAGTTTAGGTTTCCTTTATGGATGGAAACTCTAACTTTTAGCCTATATAAAAACACCGGTCCCTGCTAACCCTAGACACGACAACTAATGCTTCCCATAGAGCATTGTCATAAAACTAGGAGTTTACAGAAGAGTTGGTGTTTTCTGTTTGTCACGGCAAACATAAAGATTAGAGTTTTATCGATCACGTCTTGCTTGCATGGCTGCTGCATCTTTGATAACTACCATTGGAATCAGGTCAGTCACTCCTTCGTTTGTGTTTTAATTGTATAACCTCATAAGGCTAACAGTTGGTATCAGAGCCACTGGTTATATAATTAAAACCTATTAGGTTTAATGTTGGATTATATAATATTATCTTGAACTGCTTGTTTAATCCAAATTCTCATTGCATATACTCGGCAACATCACCATGCGATTTGAATAAGTTCAATTGTTGATTATAATCAGGTTGCATAATTATTCTAAACCCATGGTCATGCTTTTGGGTCAATATTCAATTGGGAAAACAACTTTTATTAAACTTTTGTTACGGGAATTGATGGGTTCTCTTAGATCAGCCTCGGACTTTCCGTCTTCCATAAAAAAAAAAAAAAAAAAAAAAAAAATACCCATGTCTATCTCTTCCTCTTCACGACAAGTGCTCACGGATGATTCGTGTAATATATGCAATTAGCTTTACCTCCGTAGTTTGAGGATTCGACAGAAAAATAATATTTTTCACTAATGTTATGGTTGCAGTCAAGGGAAATTTATTAAGAACTATGCTAATTGATACCCTGATTATTATCAGCAAGACAAGTTGCCTGATTACAGCACGAATCCACAATATTGTATTGTATGCAGTGTATTACATATAACCACATACTTTTGCTTGCCAATTGGAAATTGGACTATGCTTTGAGCTAGAGGCGTTTATTTTTATTTTTATCAAAGCATGAATTACATTATGGAATTGAAGCATGAAATTTAAGAAAAACCATATAGGAATTGGAATCCTATAATCATATAGGAACTTAAAGAAGCATATATGTAAGGCGTGGTATTATATTATGTATTTTACAGTGGAAATCATGGCACTAAGAAGAATAACAGTTTTGTTCTATTTCAATCTTCATGCTAGTGTTTTGGTTGAATTGATTTACCATGTGCCATTGATGATCTCAATTTTTGTAAGCATGCTATATTTGTTCTGACCTTACTGAAGAGGTCCCTTCGATTAGCAAGCAGAACGAAGTCATCTACCAAAGCAAAATGGTTTGTTTCATTGACTTTGATTTCCATAATGGTTTATGGTATTTTGGTTGATATATATTTGGGTTGATCCCTGAAGACTTAAATTAGTAATAAGATAAAGATATAATTGCATGAGTGATGTGCTAATTATTGTAGAGTATGTACATACATTGATTACCATGTATCGGTTAAGTATGTCATGAATATGGATCCAATTATTATATATTTTGGCAATACGTATCTAAATGGGCATATGCTTATTGAATAAGAACTAATATTGTTTACCATGAATTGCAATTGCATAAGTGCCAGCAATTGTTTGATCAAGCTAAGTATACGTAATTTTCTAAAGCCAATTATGCATATAGAAGTTCGCATTGCATGTGTAAAATTATCATGACACCAGTATCTAAATGGTATGTATATGATAGACATGTGGAGAAGCATATGTAAAAATGCATAAATTCAATTATTGTTTGAGACTATATTTTGTAAAAATAGTCTGGGTGTTTCAGCATTAGTACAAGAGTAAGTCTATTGCTCTGTTTTTCATGGGTAATAAGCAAAATGGACATATGGCGTGTTTTTTATACAAGGATTGGGTGGTCATATATCGCTTTAAGCGTGAGATGATCCCATACAAGACACAAATATATGTATAATATGGCAGATAAGCAATAGTTATTTAGTACTTTTGTTGCTTATGGTCATAGTGATATTAACACGTAAGGAATATGTACAATTTTGCTTTCATATCTCAATATAGTCAAATGTATATGACTAGTTAATTTATGAAATTGATGCATAACTTGTGAATTGACTGAGAATGGCAGAAAGCATCATGTGGCAAGAGCAAGAACAATATACAAATAAAATGAGGTTTGTAGTAATTATGTGACAATTCTCATTTGTATTTTATCTATTTATTTGAGAATTGTGGTTGGTCATGTGATTATAAATATGTTTATAAAGAAGTGGTGAACATATGAAGGCATAAGGTATGTTTTTCATTCAGAGCATGTGACTAAATTGATAAGCATAAGTCTTCAAACTTGTATATAGTTTATTAGTTTTTCCCATGCCTAAAGAATTGAAACAATGTTTTGATGAGTCAATTTTATGTGCCATAAGGGGAGAAGAAAAGAAACTTTTCAAAGCTAATGTAGGGCATATATTGGAGATATTTTCTATGGAAGAAAATAACTTTGATTGTTTCTTTATTTAATTTTGGTATTTACAAAGCTAATGCATGATTATAATGCTATGATTAGTAGTTTTGTACTACGGAAAGAAACATATAAAAGGAAAGGATCTCGTTTGACTTAAGAAAACATTTGAGCGATTTAGCTTTTAAATTAAAGGAATGTATTGTTCTCTCACATTACATAAAGTATTTCTATTAAGTAATTGACTCCATGACGATAAGTTTTGACATTCTTGTGGTGGAATAAAACTTATTCTATATGTGATTAATCTCTTTCAAGTATGCTGTCAGGTTTCTTGAGATTAATTTAATGTCAAAGGGAGTTATGAAGGAATTAGTGCCATTTGTTGGCAAGACTCGAAGCTCGAATCAGGTTATCATAATTTTGTCACTTACAGTTAATTAATCCATGTGACTTCTTGTATTGTTTCAGGGCGGAGTTGACCAATGCCTTTTCAACTAAGCAAGACGCAACGGCTTAGTTGATGAATGAACTATGTTTTTGAGTTACTTCGGTCAACTTTGCATCTTAATTAGAATAAAAGGGATAATCTTCTTGCCTACAGGTGTGGATTACTTCTTTTAGTTTAATTAAGATGGCATAGTATGGGTTTTATTTCACCGAAGTTGTGAAAATCTTCATCTTGCCTACAGGTGTTGAAGTTTTTCATGAAGGTACTTTTGTGACATAAAATCTAGTACTAGAAACTAGTTAATTTTCTTGTCTACAGGTGTAAATTAATTTAGTTTCATGAAGTTTATTGGGATAAAGTTTCATGCCATTAGTGACAAATATTTCCACAATGAGCCCCATAAAAGGTTGTGGGTTGAAGGCATGGAAATCAGTTGCATCATGACGTATTTTGTGTCTCTTCATGAGACTTGTTGATGCAAAAGTATTGGACCCATGAAGGTTAATCAAGGATTGCTAAGGTACTCATTGTTTAAATTTTATGCTTGTAATCTTTTCAATTTGAACTATGATGTCGGTTTAGAGGATGAAATTTGACTACTAAAGTTTCCTTTGGACATCGAAATTGAATTTGTTATGGATGCATAAATTCATGATAGATGCACATAACTGTTTCTGGCAGATTGCGTGTCTTGATTTAAATCGGGTGAATGACACATCTAATGGTCACCAAATGATCTGAATTTTTGATATGTTCAACATATAGATGTCTAATATGTTTCTGAAAATTTTCGTAATTTTCTGCCATGTATTTTAATTATGGTGAATTTACTAGTAACCCATGCTCGTATTAGACAGTTTTAATGGCAGATTGTGTTGGTCTTTTGAGACGTGACTTTAGACTACCTTTTGACCCAAAATGGCTCTATATTTTTATTTTATGAAGATTAGTATGTCTATTTTAATCAGTATAAATTTGGTAGAAATCAAGCTTATAAATTAATTATGATTAATTCTAAAGTAAGTGTAACTCGTTGCTGAAAATTCTGTTTGACAACTTCATGTTGGTTGTAATGCCTATTTTATTATGTCTAAAATATAGAGAAATTTTCTTTAGGTACATCTTTGAAAGAGTGTTTGCCCAAGTGGGAGAATTAGTGAACGAAAGTTGGGCTTCACACTCATTAACTTATTTGCAAGTATAAACTCTGAAAACTTAGTGGGAGTTATTCTAAAATTGTGAGCATTAAGTGGCCTTGCATGAATCTATTAAAGCGTTATTCTATCTTCCATGAATTTGTGTTACTTGAATGTCTATAATATGTTTAAGTTGCACGAATGGATACTTGGTATATGCGTACATTTTCTATTACTT